TTGCTTATAATCATATGACTATATCTTTAATTTAAAATAATAAAATCAACCCTCTTGACCGGAACACATGCTGCTGGGTTTTGAAAATCACCAAAATCGCCATATATGAGTTACGTCAATTTTACGTCAGATTATCAAAAGTCAATCGAAAATTCACATAATTCAAGTTTTTGTTGAAATTCATTAAACTTTGCTTACAATCTGTATGACTATATCTTTAAGTTAAAATAATAAAATCAACCCCCTCTTGAACGGAACCACATGCTGCTGGGTTTTGAAAATCACCAAAATCGCCATATATGAGTTATGTCAATTTTGCGTCAGATTATCAAAGTCAATCGAAAATTCACATAATTCCAAGTTTTTTGAAATTCATTAAACTTTGCTTACAATTTGTATGACTATATCTTTAAGTTAAAATAATAAAATCAACCCCCTCTTGACCGGAACACATGCTGCTGGGTTTTAAAATCACCAAAATCGCCATATATGAGTTACGTCAATTTTGCGTCAGATTATCAAAAGTCAATCGAAAAATTCACATAATTCCAAGTTTTTGTTGAAATTCATTAAACTTTGCTTATAATCTATATGACTATATCTTTAATTTAAAATAATAAAATCAACCCCCTCTTGACCGGAAACAATGCTGCTGGTTTTAAATCACCAAAATCGCCATATATGAGTTACGTCAATTTTGCGTCAGATTATCAAAAGTCAATCGGAAAATTCACATAATTCCAAGTTTTTGTTGAAATTCATTAAACTTTGCTTACAATTATGACTATATCTTTAATTTAAAATAATAAAATCAACCCCCTCTTGACCGGAAACACATGCTGCTGGGTTTTGAAAATCACCAAAATCGCCATATATGAGTTATGTCAATTTTGCGTCAGATTATCAAAAGTCAATCGGAAAATTCACATAATTCCAAGTTTTTGTTGAAATTCATTAAACTTTGCTTACAATTTGTATGACTATATCTTTAATTTAAAATAATAAAATCAACCCCCTCTTGACCGGAAACACATGCTGCTGGGCTTTGAAAATCACCAAAATCGCCATATATGAGTTATGTCAATTTTGCGTCAGATTATCAAAAGTCAATCGGAAAATTCACATAATTCCAAGTTTTTGTTGAAATTCATTAAACTTTGCTTACAATTTGTATGACTTATCTTTAATTTAAAATAATAAAATCAACCCCCTCTTGACCGGAAACACATGCTGCTGGGTTTTGAAAATCGCCATATATGAGTTATGTAAATTTTGCGTCAGATTATCAAAAGTCAATCGAAAAATTCACATAATTCCAAGTTTTTGTTGAAATTCATTAAACTTTGCTTACAATTTGTATGACTTATCTTTAATTTAAAATAATAAAATCAACCCCTCTTGACCGGAAACACATGCTGCTGGGTTTGAAAATCACCAAAATCGCCATATATGAGTTACGTCAATTTTGCGTCAGATTATCAAAAGTCAATCGGAAAATTCACATAATTCCAAGTTTTTGTTGAAATTCATTAAACTTTGCTTACAATTTGTATGACTTTATCTTTAATTTAAAATAATAAAATCAACCCCCTCTTGACCGGAAACACATGCTGCTGGGTTTGAAAATCACCAAAATCGCCATATATGAGTTACGTCAATTTTGCGTCAGATTATCAAAAGTCAATCGGAAAATTCACATAATTCCAAGTTTTTGTTGAAATTCATTAAACTTTGCTTACAATTTGTATGACTATATCTTTAATTTAAAATAATAAAATCAACCCCCTCTTGACCGGAAACACATGCTGCTGGGTTTTGAAAATCACCAAAATCGCCATATATGAGTTATGTAAATTTTGCGTCAGATTATCAAAAGTCAATCGAAAATTCACATAATTCCAAGTTTTTGTTGAAATTCATTAAACTTTGCTTACAATTTGTATGACTTATCTTTAATTTAAAATAATAAAATCAACCCCCTCTTGACCGGAAACACATGCTGCTGGGTTTTAAAATCACCAAAATCGCCATATATGAGTTACGTCAATTTTGCGTCAGATTATCAAAAGTCAATCGAAAATTCACATAATTCCAAGTTTTTGTTGAAATTCATTAAACTTTGCTTACAATTATGACTATATCTTTAATTTAAAATAATAAAATCAACCCCCTCTTGACCGGAAACACATGCTGCTGGGTTTAAAATCACAAAAATCGCCATATATGAGTTACGTCAATTTTGCGTCAGATTATCAAAAGTCAATCGAAAATTCACATAATTCCAAGTTTTTGTTGAAATTCATTAAACTTTGCTTACAATTATGACTATATCTTTAATTTAAAATAATAAAATCAACCCCCTCTTGACCGGAAACACATGCTGCTGGGCTTTGAAAATCACCAAAATCGCCATATATGAGTTATGTCAATTTTGCGTCAGATTATCAAAAGTCAATCGGAAAATTCACATAATTCCAAGTTTTTGTTGAAATTCATTAAACTTTGCTTACAATTTGTATGACTATATCTTTAATTTAAAATAATAAAATCAACCCCCTCTTGACCGGAAACACATGCTGCTGGGCTTTGAAAATCACCAAAATCGCCATATATGAGTTATGTCAATTTTGCGTCAGATTATCAAAAGTCAATCGGAAAATTCACATAATTCCAAGTTTTTGTTGAAATTCATTAAACTTTGCTTACAATCTGTATGACTATATCTTTAATTTAAAATAATAAAATCAACCCCCTCTTGACCGGAACCACATGCTGCTGGGTTTTGAAAATCGCCATATATGAGTTATGTAAATTTTGCGTCAGATTATCAAAAGTCAATCGAAAAATTCACATAATTCCAAGTTTTTGTTGAAATTCATTAAACTTTGCTTACAATTTGTATGACTTTATCTTTAATTTAAAATAATAAAATCAACCCCTCTTGACCGGAAACACATGCTGCTGGGTTTTGAAAATCACCAAAATCGCCATATATGAGTTATGTCAATTTTGCGTCAGATTATCAAAAGTCAATCGAAAATTCACATAATTCAAGTTTTTGTTGAAATTCATTAAACTTTGCTTACAATTTGTATGACTTTATCTTTAATTTAAAATAATAAAATCAACCCCCTCTTGACCGGAAACACATGCTGCTGGGTTTTGAAAATCACCAAAATCGCCATATATGAGTTACGTCAATTTTGCGTCAGATTATCAAAAGTCAATCGGAAAATTCACATAATTCCAAGTTTTTGTTGAAATTCATTAAACTTTGCTTACAATTTGTATGACTATATCTTTAATTTAAAATAATAAAATCAACCCCCTCTTGACCGGAACACATGCTGCTGGGTTTTGAAAATCACCAAAATCGCCATATATGAGTTACGTCAATTTTGCGTCAGATTATCAAAAGTCAATCGAAAATTCACATAATTCCAAGTTTTTGTTGAAATTCATTAAACTTTGCTTACAATTTGTATGACTATATATTTTAATTTAAAATAATAAAATCAACCCCCTCTTGACCGGAACACATGCTGCTGGGTTTGAAAATCACCAAAATCGCCATATATGAGTTATGTCAATTTTGCGTCAGATTATCAAAAGTCAATCGAAAAATTCACATAATTCCAAGTTTTTGTTGAAATTCATTAAACTTTGCTTACAATCTATATGACTATATCTTTAATTTAAAATAATAAAATCAACCCCCTCTTGACCGGAAACATGCTGCTGGGCTTTAAAATCACCAAAATCGCCATTATGAGTTACGTCAATTTTGCGTCAGATTATCAAAAGTCAATCGAAAAATTCACATAATTCCAAGTTTTTGTTGAAATTCATTAAACTTTGCTTACAACTATTGACTATATCTTTAATTTAAAATAATAAAATCAACCCCTCTTGACCGGAAACAATGCTGCTGGGTTTAAAATCACCAAAAATCGCCTATATGAGTTACGTCAATTTTGCGTCAGATTATCAAAATCAATCGGAAAATTCACAAATTCCAAAGTTTTTGTTGAAATTCATTAAACTTTGCTTACAATCTATGACTATATCTTTAATTTAAAATAATAAAATCAACCCCTCTTGACCGGAAACACATGCTGCTGGGCTTTGAAAATCACCAAAATCGCCATATATGAGTTACGTCAATTTTGCGTCAGATTATCAAAGTCAATCGGAAAATTCACATAATTCCAAGTTTTTGTTGAAATTCATTAAACTTTGCTTACCAATTTGTTTGACTATATCTTTAATTTAAAATAAGAAAATCAACCCCCTCTTGACCGGAAACACATTGCTGCCTGGGCTTTGAAAATCACTTAAATCGCCATATATGAGTTATGTCAATTTTGCGGCAGATTATCAAAAGTCAATCGGAAAATTTCACATAATTCCAAGTTTTTGTTTGGAATTCATTAAACTTTGCTTACAATTTGTATGACTTTATCTTTAATTTAAAATAATAAAATCAATCGCCTCTTGGACCGCAAACACATGCTGCTGGGCTTTGAAAATCACCAAATCGCCATATACGAGTTACGTCAATTTTTGCGTCAGATTATCGAATTCAATCGAAAAAATTCAAAAATTTATAAGTTTTTGTTGAAATTCATTAAACTTTGCTTATAATCTATATGACTATATCTTTAATTAAAATAATAAAATCAACCCCCTCTTGACCGGAACCACATGCTGCTGGGCTTTGAAAAACACCAAAATCGCCATAAATATTGACATTAATTTTGAGTTACTGATAGAAATTCATTTGCTTTTTGCTTACAATTTTATGATTATATTTTTCATTCGAAATTTTAAAACCGTCCCTTCTCCGTTTTCTTTGCTTTCTTCAATCCGACATTTCCTTTTTTATGCTTGTTTACCATATTTTAACAAGACATATCATTGGGAACATTAAATTTTACGCGTGGGTATTTTCTGCGATTCTGTCAGTCTTAATTTCGTTTTTTGCTGCTAGCTTCCCAGAGGTGTAGTTTGTGCAGTCATCAATAATGAAACGATTTATCGTAAGATATTGGTAAAACATGTCACGTATTATCAGTGGCGCTGCTTTACCTGTTTGTGTGCGCCGATAAAACTTATTAATTCTTTAAAATAAAGAATAATCGTGCATGAGGGCGGCACAAAGACTTAGTTTAGGCTGTTGTGGACCGACTTTTTCGATGGCAGACGTGCAGCAGCAACCGAATGGGTCCCCGTCTAGAGGGGAAACGATATGGTCTTATCAATTTCGGATTGTACTGATTGGAGACTCTACTGTAGGAAAATCAGCGCTGTTAAGGAGATTTAGCGATGGAGATTTTTTAGAGGTAAATTGATTGTGTATAAAGGTCCCCAATTTGAATAATACAGTAATACTTTGATGCGAAAATTCGCATTGGTGTGTTGTTTGGTACCACATGCACTTCTAGTTGGCCTGGCTCAACAATTTTTGCATAGGGTGGCTTACCCACTTTGCGGCCATGACCTATCTGCGACCATCAACTTCATCGATTAAATTAATGCCGAAAAAATTAACGAAACGCGCCGATATTTCTCACGCGTTATCGTCCACTTATTCCTCGTAGCTCTACGAAATTACACTAAAATGCGGCCACAAATAAAAAAGTTATGACCGAAAACCTGACCGAAGAAAAAAAACGGACCATTTTACCATGTCGCCAACTACCCATTGTTCTTTCAAAAAAGCTTGAAAATCCATACAAATATAAGAGATAAAGAGATGAAACTTGGCAGGTGGGTAGAGTTGTGTTTCTTTTACCCATCTTTAAAGTTTCGCGTTTCTATCTTCAAAGGAGGGGGAGTAGGGGGGTGCGCATTTCCAATACGTCAATAATATCTTTGTCAACTAATTTGCGACCACCGTGTTTTTGTCTGTTTGATTGCTGTGATGCGGTGCTTTGTTTTATAATTTGAAGAATTTTGTTGAAATAATCGTGTTCTTAAAATATATGACGGTCAGAAATGCAATTAGAAGCCCATTTTTTCACGCATGGCTGCGTATGCCCTAGTCTCGACGCAGCAGAAACGATGTTCAAGGCTTGAAATCCGTGGTCGCACACTGGTCGTTCGGTCGCAAATACGTCTTCAGAGTGTCGTACTTTGGTGGTTTGTATAGCTTTAACCCCTGGTCGTAGAAAGTTAATTCGAAGTTCAGCGTGTAGAATAAATGCCAATGCACCTACGGTGAAAAAATTAACGGGTTAGAAATATTGGTTTTTGTTTTATAGCGGTTTGAATGAAATCGTCCGCAGACTGGCTACACCACCCTATGTCCATCCTAACCCCCACTTGACTACGTCACCGAAAAATTACGTCTTTTCGACGTCACAGTGGCGTAATGTTGCCTACCAAAGAATGCGAATGGTCGTCAAAAATGCGCAGACGATCACCCGAAATGGAGCAAGCTATTTCTCTCGTTTTCTCCTCACAACGATCACGATAGGCAATAGGAGAGAGATCGCCGAGTTTGTTATCGAACTTTAGCGAGTTCGTTATCGGCAGTGCAGATATCATTTTGGGCGATCGTAATTGGACTTTGGCAAGCCGTATGAGGTGATGGTCCAGTCTGGATTTCATGGCCTTTTCGAACGAGAAATCTGGCGTGCAATCAGAAATTCCCGCGTGCAAATAAGAATTTCTGGCGTGCAATTATAGCTCCTAGGGATTCCTATCATTCAACACGATATGGTGATTTTTGCTTCGCATTTTTCGATCAGGCCAAATCTTGCAAGCGAGTATTAGTCGACAATTGTAAAGTTATAATTTTTTGGCATCTTTATATTACTAGATTATTGATTTAAAAACTATTTAAACCGATTTACATTGGTGAGCAATTGCAAATTTTCGGCGTGCAAAATTGAATTCGCTCGCGTGCATTTTTGTGGAGCGCTAGCGCCCTCGGGCGTGCATCTGCCATGGAATCCAGTCTGGGTGATGGTGACGTCGTAGTGACGTAATTTATGGATGGCATAGTCAGGTGGGGTTTAACATATAAATAACATATGCCAATTCGTTAGGCTCCGCCCACTGGAAGTACTTGTGCTACTAAACTATACTAGACCCCGAAAATTCGCATGGGTGCGTTGTTTTCAATCTAAAAACGATTGTGGGTGAATAGGAGAATCCACTGATTACAGTACTATAATATTGTACCGTAAAGCTGTATGCTATTAAACCCCCTTTATACGTTTTTGCCTGTCATTGTTTTCGTGTTGTTTCATAGAGAAAGGGGCAATTTGAAATTGGTTTAAAAATAAAAGTTGTAGAATATTGATTGGAATGATGTAGGCTAGCATTGAATACGTGAGAAAGTGACCATTTTTTGATTCATATAGGACAGGGGTGGGCAACTTCTCTAGTCGGCGGGCCAGATGTGGGAAAATGAATTCCTCGTTGGGCCGTATCATTACATGAATAGCAGGGATGGCCATTTCCGAATACTAAACTATTCCGAATACATTCTAAAATATTGTTTTCGAATCTGGAATTCCGAATACATTCTAAAATCGATAATAACACATTTTTGTTTTAGTTGATTAAAACCCAGTAAATTAGGACATAAGCTCCAATAGAAATATCAGAATGAAGCCACAAACCAACAGTATATGTACACAAAGTAATTGATAGTTCATAGCTATCAATAAAAAATATGCCTTTAAAAATTCTAATATTTAAGCCTGAGGTATTCTACTACCTACCAGTATATTTGTATATTAATTTATGTGAACCATATTGTTATTATGTGTAACATATTGTTGTGTTTGGAATTAGAAATAAATTAGTAGAGAATAGATGACCACCACTGCCAGCGCGCAGCCAGGATTTTCGAAATCGGAAATTCCCATTGCCGCCTGTAATACCCACCGCGATTTCGCGCTCGTTAAAAGAGCTGTCTTTTCAGCATATAATGATCATTCTGTTACCTAAAATATTCAATCCACGGTTGCTTCTTCTTACGTCAAAAAAATACATTACTGTTCGGTCCACGGCGATCTGTGACCTAAAATTACGAGATAAACTGCCTGATGTATTTAATTTTAATACGTATTTTTGCAATCTTGCCAACTCGTTATCGCCGTTAGAAACATCTCAAATAATTATATAAAATCCTGTTAAGTGTACTGTTAAAGTATAATAATTCATTTCATACAATGAATATACATATAAAGTTTAGCAGTGAATTAAAAATACATATTCATCGTCGCGATTATGCCACCTGTTAAAAGAGTCGACTTTTACAACAAATAATATAACAACGAATATATATTTTTCTGTTGTGCAAAGTGTTGAATTCGTGACCGACACGCGTATTTAAAATGTCTTGCTTTATTAATTTAATTGTCTTCAATTTAACCTGCGGTTGCGTCGACAAAATAAAATCCTCACCACTCTTATATACCATTGCAATCCGCGGTTATAATAATAAAAACGTGAGGTAAACTGTCCGATTAAATATTGTTTTGTTCCGTATTTTGCGAATTGGGCAAATATTTAGATGTACTTGTTAACAGTGACTCCGCTCGATCGAAATGCTGCCACTCTGATTATTTTTAGATAAAACCGTTCGAAAAATCCATAAATATGCTGTAATATCTCAAAGTAAAATTTATTTCATCACAATAAAATTGATTGAATATACTTTAAATTGATTATATTATATACATCCTCACAACCCGGGAAAAAGTCGCGTTTCAAACCTTGTATCGTGTTAACACGAAAATATTCGACGGCAATTTAAAGTAATGGATAATCAGGCAAATCACGCCCTCAATTAGTGACGATAAGTTGCGTTGTCTTTAGAAACTCGCCGCCAATGAACGTATTTACCAGATTCACAATTCCGTGCGCGTACAAAAATAAAATAAATGTTATCGTTATCGTGGAACGAATTTGTGGAAAATTTTCGTTTTAGAGAAAATAATACAATCGTAAAGGCGTTTACGGCCTAAATAACACGTTACGCTGATGAGTGATGAAAATAATCACGCGCAAGTTTCTATCGAGAATGTTTTCATTCAACGGGAAGGTCTTGAAAGCGGTGTCGAAAATGTGTGACGTCACACAAATATCCGATATTCTTATGAACGTGAATTCCGATATTCGAATGACGAGATATTCGAATACATTCGAATACTTTATTCGAATTGGCCATCCCTGATGAATAGTATTCAATATTTTAATCATATATTTATTCGCTAATGTGAGAGAGAAATTTATAAATCACGTTTAAAGTAAAGTTTAAACTTCACAAAAAATAGAGACCAAAAAACACATAATGGATTTATCATAATGTATGAAAAATGTCTAATAATGCAATATCATAATGTACTGATGTTTGTCTACAGTCAGCGGGCCGGTCAAAATCTCGCCGCGGGCCGGATGTTGCCCACCCCTGATATAGGCTATGATATTTGTTATTTGAATTCTTAGATCTCAGACCCCACTGTGGGTGTCGACTTCTACGCCAGATTGATTGAAATTGCTCCTTCAATAAGAATTAAATTACAGTTATGGGACACTGCTGGACAAGAAAGATTCAGGTAATGTTGAATAATACAGTAGTAAGTACATATTTGAAGCCTGTCATGATTTTTTTATCCAGCAAACTTCTTGCAGGGTGATCAGAGTTGCAGTGGGGAACGTATCCCTAACACTCATCATGATGCGCCACACTGCCGAGCCAATATATCTTAACCAAATTTTTAGTATTTTAATCAGTATTTATTAAAGTTTTTTTACATCATTCAATACATCTGTACGGGCCAACAAACTGTATATAATATCTGTAGGATTGGATTACTTATTCATTCCGATCAATTTCCCTTGCTGTCAAAAAAATGTCAAGACATTGTGAACACCCTGTATTATTCTACAGGTCAATAACAAGGTCTTATTACCGCAACTCCGTTGGAGGCGTCCTAGTCTACGATGTTTCAAGTTCAGCAAGTTTCTCTCACATAGAGAGGTGGATGGAGGAGGCCAGTGCTCATGTCGCTCCGAGATCGATTTTATTCATTCTTATCGGACAAAAATCGGACTTGGAAGAGGAAAGAAAGGTAATATTTTGTATTCAATATGCTAGTACTTCTGTAGGTCGCGACACATTTGCTAATGTTACAAACAGTTTTCAATTAGTTTGGGAAATTGTAGCATTTATCATTACCTAACAATAACACTTAACACCTAGAATTATTTGTTGTGTTTCGTTAATGATTTTAGTATGCGCCCCTACATGTTGGAAAGTGTAGATATGCTACTGAGCAGATAAGTAATTTGTTGAATTCGGGTAGACTTCGAAATGATATGATAATGTCCAATATGCGAGCTGAAGTTTTGCATAAATAGTAAATTGCATTGAGGATACATCGATTTTTTTCTTTTATATTATTAACATTTCTTTGTGGTTCTAAAAAAATGACAATAAAAGTAGGTCACAGTCAAACATAAATAATTCAAATTATATTTGATTATCCAATTCAGGCACACCTTAAAGTTATGTTAACCCCATATGACATATGCAAACTACGGCTTGTGGGATAAATCTGGCTTGTTGGGTTTTCACTCTGGTCCGCCTGATGCTGCCACAATCAAACTAAAACCAAATTTCGATGTTTTAGCTAAAATATAGCTCAAGGAATTTGTTGAGATCGCGATAGAATTCTGTTTCGACACGAGGCTTATTGTTGTCCAATTTTGCTTTTGTAACACTGTAAATATTATTCATAAAATGAAACTTTTTACATCACACTTACATGGCCCACCAGTCTAGGCGGGCAAAATTTTTGGCCCCTGGCCCCAAAAGCCCCAAAACCTTACCCATCTTTGCCTAGCTCATAATGACCAGAGTAGTGAGAACTAGGAGTATTGATTGGTATTAAACAGTTGATTAACTTTTGTTCAGCTTTCCAGTTTGTCAATAATGTAATGGCTATTTGGTGCCATCATTATCCCTTCGACAATACTACTTATGTCAGTCTTCGACATGTTACTAGTCCGTTAACAAATGAATTTATATATCAAGGGTTTCAAATAGGGATGGGCAATGTAGAATAATTTACTATTCTAGAATATTCTGCAATGCTGGTGCAATGACGAGTCATCGCCGTGAGGTGTACTCCGCCGACTTCTTGTCCCGAATATGCCGATTGAGATTACAGGGTTTGATGTTTACCGATTTTACGAGCAGACGCAAGTTATGTTAGAGATTTCCACGCGAGAAAAAACACTCGTGAGATTTCCACGTGAGAAAAAACACTCGTGAGATTTACACGGGAGAAAAAACGCACGTCTTAGTTAATAAATTGGAAACCCGAAATACAAAAATTGATGCATGGAGCCGAAGAGGAGGAAACCGAATTCTGTTATCGGATCCCGTTGGATTCGAATACTTTGGGATTCGGTATTCTATATTGCCCATCCCTAGTTTCAAAATGTGAACATGCTGAGCAATTCAAGAGTCTCGCTGCACACTTTCACAAATGTATTTGTGTAACGTTACGTTTGACCAAAAAAAGACAAGTAGTTTACTAGAATGTAAATTGTTGTCTGAGGAAGTCTGATTTCTGTCAGATGAAACGTTACAGAAATACATTTGTGTTAGTGTGCAGCAGGAATTGCATAGTATGGTCATGTTTATTCCTGCTACAGCATCCATCCAGCAACGAGGGCCAATGTAAATAAAATTGAATTGCTTGGATCTTGGACAGACATGTGGTATTCTCATCATTATAAGGCTGTCTGGAATACTCAGTCGACTTGATTTTTGTAATTTATATAGAAAATTCAGACTTTGACTATCACCATGGAAAGTTAAAATTTTGAATCTGGACTTCAGAAAGTTTGAAAAGACGAATCAAACTTTTATGAAATCATGCCGATCCTGACTCCATTGCCCTACGCCTATCATAGCCTATACAATTCCTTGCTCTTGGCATGATTTTCACAAATAAAAGACTCTCGTGTTTTGCTTTTTTAATAAAATTTATTTTATTTTTATCACAGGTAACACAAGAGCAAGGAGCGTTATTTGCACGGAAACATAAAATGCCTTTCATTGAAACGTCTGCAAAGACTGGATATAATGTTGAGGAAGCTTTCCATGTGTTAACTGAATGTATATATAGGTAAGTTATAAGAAATATTAGCAAGTTAGTAAGTTTATTTCTATCTCATATTCAGTATAACAGTGACTTGTTATAAAAACAAACTGAATGTATAATAGGCTCGGCGGTGTGGCGCATCGCGCTAAGCATTAGGAATTGTCTCGCCACGCACCTCTGATTACCTTGCGTGCGTTCGCAGGTTCGAATCCCATGCGGGGATAGTTATGCACGAGAGAATTGCTGGACTCCTCACCACCATAGGGTGGTTCAAATAACCTCTGGTCGGTCATGGCTTCCTCCGTCATGAAATTCATGCTTCGAAAACAATTAACTGGCTAACTAATCCCATACCTGACATGGACTGGTGAGTGGACGGTTCGCCATATGATTAAGCTCTCTTATCGCCTTCCCTTTCCTCCAGGAAAAATATATAAATTCTATCATATCCTAAAATTGGAGATCATTTTATGCACCAATCTATTTCAAAGATTTTCAAATTCTACAGTTTCTGATATTGGATATTTTTAATCAAGAGGATGTGAGAGGAACGATGAACTCCTCACTTTTTTAGGGTGAATCACATATCTGCTGGTTGGCTATGACATCCTTCGCCATCGAGTTGTCAAGCATTACTTGTCAACCATTACTGTTTCCATTACTGGACTTGTAATCAGTCGGGACTCTTGAGAGGTTGTGGTTCACCATATTAATAATAAGCTGCGTGATCAATTTTCCTTTCCCGAGATAAAAATGAAAAGCCTATCCTGTGATTAAGTCGTCTCATGGGCTTTCTTTTCCCCCCAGCATAAATATAAAAATCATATTCCATGATTAAGTCCTCTTATCGACATTACTCTCCCCATGTTAAATATAAAAATCCAACCCAATTATATTTGAACCCACGTACATTTGAACCCATGACAATTGCACCTGCATACTATTGCACCTATGGAAATTTTTTTGTTGTAATGGGTTCAAATGTACGGTCACCATAAAAATCCAATCCTATGATTAACCGTTTCAACGACTTTCTCATCTTACCAACTTTTCTTGCCCTGGGATAAATATTAAAGCTGTATCCCATTTTCTTCAGGCAGCTACAGTCAGGAGTTATCACAGCTGAAGATGGCTGGGAAGGAGTGAAGTGCTCGTTGCTGCCAAGTCCTGTATATAGCCAAAGTGATGATATTGACTCTTCTACAAAGAAGAAATGTTGCTGATGTTGTCTTGTGTTTTTATCGACAGAATTTATGGTTCAGTGAGAAAGGTATAAAACAGAATTTCATGAGTTATGCTTGAATAAGCAAGGATTATTCAGGGTACAAAACAAAACTGTTTTTAGTATTTGCTTAAACATGAGAGCAATGGTCACGATTCAAAAATTATTTTTCCCTACCCCCTCACCTGTAGTGTATTAAATAAGTTGGACAAAACCAAATAGTAAATCCCAGTCCTTTATGTATTTTCTTAATTATTAGTGGAAAACATAAATCACGCGATTTCGAAAGAATACATAAGATCAGGGAAACATCGCCTTTGCATAACAATGTCGACTATAATCGTACGACCCGAAAAACGGCGAACTTGCATCTAAATGTTTAGCATTTTTAACATAAACAAGGGTTGCGGAAAATTTTAATATATTGAAAGGGTCGATATTTTAAGTTTTGGAAACCCCAGAAGGGCAATGCCAACCAGTCTTCTAACTTTTTACAAATCGTTGGCCGCTCCGCATTTGGATCTGAGCTTTGCAATGCCTTAATTAATTCTGCATCAAATATGTCACATTACATTAGTCGTGGAATGATTTTGACCAGGCAATTATTATTTTTGATTGCCTCATGAATTTTGCAGACATTGTCAAGTTCGGGAGGTACTGGTCCTTGAGGTAAAAAATAGTGATTCTTGTTTTTAATTAGCTGTTTTGTGCAGAGTATTGATCAGAGTAAACATTTTAAAACACTCAAAAACAAATCGAGATGTTGCATTACATTAGCCATGAAATGATTTTGTTCAGCCAATTATCATAATTGATTTTCTTGATTGATTACTGATTACCTCATTTTTAATCAATCAGAATAGAGGTACAGATGTCTAGGTGTTTTATCTGTGACTGTAAATCTATAAAATATGAAACTGAAAGTGTTTTTGCGAACGCTATTGAAGTAGCGTCAAATTTTCTTTGCCTGTATGATGAAAATCATCATTGAAAATGTCGTCCTAATCATGCCTGACTGCAGCCCCTTCCTATCTGCCTTTTGACTGACTGTAAGAATACTGCAGAATGAATCATAAATGGCTATACTGAGTTTTTCAAATATCAAAACATCATACTTTTACGGATTTTATTTCGTATCAATTTAAGGATTTTATTCTGACCAAAGTCAGACTTCTTCAGACAAACAGTTTACAACAGTTGTTGTACCTGTGAAAATTTATAAAGTATGATACAATACTTTTAAACCAACAATGTACAAATAAAATCTTAATTTTGAATCATATTTGTTTATCATATATAGCGTTACCCTACTGTGTAAATATAGCTCAATTAAATTAATTGACCGTCCTTAATTAACGTGCTTTTCAATCTTTCATACTTTTTCTCTCATATTGCACTATATTGCTTGGTACTCTTTTACTTGCCTGATCCTACTTTGTTTTTTATTGCTGGTTTCACCTGTTATTTAGATTAGCCTTGGGTAACTCAGTGAAAGTTCTATCTATCATATATTTGACATAGATAAGATTGGGCAAGTCTGATTTGCTACAATCACTAAAATTAATTTTTTTACTTTTGAGTGAGTGCTCGTAACTTTGCTCATAGATGACTCTCGCATGTTATTTAGATTATGGGCATCTCCATAGGAGCTCTTCTCAAACTGTGTTCCACAGAAAACTGCTGTTCTGCGAGCTTCTTTGAAGCGAACAGGGATCAGAATTGCGACTAAATTGGTCGTCATGACGATCTCGGTCGTACTTCGACGACCTTGGGTATTAAATTTGTCGGCGCTCCAGAAGTATGTGCATCAAGATGGCGCACAATCTGAACCCTAACTTGGTACTATTTTCAGGTTGTGCGCCATCGTGGTGCACATACTTCGGGAGCTCCAATTTGTCTCCCAACTGGCGACAAACAGGCCTTGCTATCTAAACAGCAATCGTTGTTTGTTGATGAATTTCATGCTTGTCTAAAGCTTGGTTCAGATCAGCACAGTTAAAGCCAGTCCTGCCCAGTCCTACACATCACTTGTATCAGTGGTTCCTAACCTTTTTAGGCTCGTGACCCCCTTACCGGAGGCTTCCATCACCAATGGCCCCCTGTTATCATTTCCGTGATATTTATAATGTTATTTTAAATGATAGATTCCCCTGTTATCATTTCAGTGATATTTATAGTGTTATTTCAATTTTTAGATTCCAAGTTTCATTATTTTCACCAAATTTTGTGTCTAAAATTGTGGCCCCTCCAACTCCAACCCCTCTGTGGCATCCTTGGGGGCGTTCCAGAAGTATGTGTACCAATATGGAGGTAACTAATTTTGTTCGCCTACTCTAAATCAGGTTGTGTAAAGAGGACTGAAACTTATGGACGGGGTATATTCACTTGGATGACACAGACAGTCCCCGAACTTGTAATAGAGCTAAAATAAGGAAAATCAGAATAAAATTATGGTCTAACCTAACTTGGTACACACTACGGGAGTACCCCTTGAGGGAAGGGGGCGGGAACCACTGACTTCTATCTTTTTTTTACCTCATTTTCTATGTACAGAATTAATATTTTCAATAAAAATAGGTGTTGTCGTGTCTCTATCAGTGTTATTCGTTCATATTTTCATACTTTTTTTATCAAATTTTCTGTGATAATCATATTATGTTTCCGTTTTATTTCCATGACTGTGTTTTAAAATTCATTTTTAAAATTCATTTATTTGTTCCAGCAGTATTACACCTTCAATCATGGTTTTCCCCAGAAATGACCAGAATTAAATTATTGACTCGTGGGTATAAGGATGTTTTAAATAGGTTTCAGTTGTTTCATAATGTCCTATATTCTATTTGCGATAGTTTAAGTTGCAGGCGACAAAATCGTGTTAGGCTTGAATGCATTCTCATCAAAAATAATGGTAATTCTGACTGAATATAGAAAAATAGAAGAAAAATTTGAATTTTTAGCCTGTTTAAAAATATTACTCTAAAAGGGCATCAAAGCGTACGTCTCTTGGTTTGCACACAAAAGTTTCAGACTCCCAATTCCGTCTTAGTATTCAAGTTAACTTCTGACTTAAGTTTTATGCTGCTATGACGCTATTGATATAATTGAGTAGAGAACGGCCAACCTGAAATTTCTCTTTTTTTTGATATATTTATAACCCTTACATACCAATGACTGCGATTGCCTGTTATGTTGATGTCCCACCTTTTCAACCTAACCCAATATGAACATCATAAGAAAATCACTGAGTGACAGGTCAATACTGGTCAATTGTTTGATATCTGCCATTTCAAGGGGCGTTTTTTACTCTTCATATGTTTAATACTTTGCAGTATTTCTTCATTATAGTTTTATGGTACATTTTATTACCTCTCTAATGATCAGTTTTTATTGATAATATTTTAACAAATTTGCACTATAACAAAACAGCATACAAGGCCATGTATCTGGAGAATTTTATTGGCCTATTTTTCCCTGACTCGTATCTTATCGATAAATTTTGATCCAGGGTATAATTAATCCGTTTTGTCGACTTTGCCTAACAAAGCACCCACTTTGACTCTAAGCAAGGGTTCTTAAACCCTAACCCCTCGGCCAAAACTGTCCTCTGGGGGGCAACAAGTAAAACCCTTCGCTAGTTACCATTTTTGCTTCCATTTGAAGGCTTTTATATTATTAAACATATCGCGTTTAACATAATTGATGGAAATGTGGTAGAAGCAAAACTAATTCCATTCCCGACATGGACTGGTAACCGGACGAGAGGCCGTGGTTTCCTATATGGTTAATTCGCCTTAACAACTTTCCTCTCCATCGGAATAAAAAAAAAATCTGCATCAAAAATTTTTATAACAGCTGGGGCCACAAGCGTTGTGGATCTTGGTCATAGGGGTCACAGCTTGGAAGTTTAGAAACCACTGCTCTAAGCCACTTCAAATAAAGTTCGTTGACCATCTTACATAGGTTTCAATTTTATACATTTCATTCATTGCACATCGTTTTTTCAATGTCCTAAACATTATTTTTTTGTGTAAATTTTCCACGTTTTGAACTGTGTTTTATTTCATTTTTATCTTCATAAGCTGGTGAATAAGCACTGTTATTATTTTTCGTTGTAAATTGTTTTCAAAATAAAATATTGGAAATCGTAGATTGTGAAGTTTTGAAGGTTTTTACGTTTGTAAATCTCAGTTCATGGACGGATTGGCGCACGAGATCGTAGCCAGCCTCTTATTTTGGGGAGGAAGGGCGACAAAGACGTAAGAATTTATGACTCGATGCAAACGCCGTAAAATTGCATTTGAAAAAATATATATTTTGAAAAAAAAAATGTTTTTGGAATACGACGCCTTTTGCTCTCAGAAAAGCTAGATAAAACCATTGATATCTAATAATATCTTAAGAGTCTCTCTACAGACTTACTTAGCTGTCGAACTTATCCAACCTGCAAAAGCGCGCCTATCCATTTGTCTCGGTTGGTTCATTTGGAGAAAGAAATATTGACAGGAAAAGTCAGTTTTCAGTAAATCGATCAAAAAGCGCGTAAGAATTTGTTTTATTGCAAATGCCGCAAAATTGCATTTAAAAAAAATTTATTGAAAATTTTGGGCACTTCGCCTGTGTTGGTGGCGCTTCGTGCAAAACGTTTGAAACACTTTTCGTCTGTGCGAGGGTTCAAATGCAGTGGGATATAACCTGCGACGAGTCTCAAAATTTCAAGAACGGGTTTCCTTTTTTATCAAATTCGGAAACAACGGGTTCTATCATTCCAGAAATAAAAATCATGTTCAACAGCGTACGCAAAGTTATTCGGTATAGACTTCATACGTGAGATAAATTGACATGGCACGATTTACATAAATCTAGTAGGCCTACATAACATCCGAAAAGTCAAATATAACACCAGTCATCAGCTGCGGTGCCCACTCCTCATTTGCTGCGTTCGCCTAGCCTCAACACCAGTAATTCTCTAATTTTTCAAACTGCGCCTAATTTTTTGAATGTGTTAAGTCTCGCGCCGAACCTCAAAAATAAATAGCTAACAATAAGTCACAAATAACAGTTTCTTAATCAAAAGTATATATGTTTTATTCAAAAAAATACGCGGATGGAACGTAAATACCCAAAATAAAAAAAATGTAAATATTCAAAACAAGGCAGAACAGATCAAATCTAACCAAATATTTTAAATTTAATTAGTTAACGCCTTCTCAAAAAAAGGCCTCAGTTGCCCCAGGCCTACCTTGGTCTGGCTTTTGCTTAGATAGAGTTTGTTGAATGAATCGAGAGAGTCAATCGAAGAAAGAATGTTTAAATAGACAATATCAATCGATCGGGAGTATATCATCAAAATT